TTCTTTTTTTTTTTTTTTTTTGAGACAGAGACTTGCTATATAGTTCAGGCTGGTCTTGAACCCACCATGGAACCCAGGCTGCCCTTGAACTTGCAGCTGTCTTCCTGCCTTAGTCTTCCAATACTGGGATTGTAGCATATGTCGTCATTACTGGCAGGAAGGTAGAATTCTTCTTGACAGCCTTTAGATCACCAAAGACCCTGAGTCCTTCCATCACCAGTTGTATTCCATTGCTTCAGATTGTACCAGAGAAGTAGCTATTTATTCTTTGTTTTATTGGGTTAACTAGCTGTGGCCCTGATATTTGAATGTGTCTGGGCATTTGAGATCCAGATAATCCACTGATCTTTTAAAAATGTCAGAGTAAAAACATGGTCACAATTTTCTTTTTGGTTGTTTTTGAGATAGGATCTCATATAGTTCAGGTTTGCCTTGAACTCACTATGTAGCCCAGGCTGGCATTGAATTTGTAGCAGGCCTCCTGCTTCAGCCTCTCGAGTACTGAATTACAGCTACCGTATCTGGCACAAAACTGCCTTTTTGTAGTTAGATTACATAAACCAATTTTATACACGAGGCACATAGATTTCTGACTATGAAAGGGAATTGTTTGTCTGGTTACACAAGAATGCTTTATTACAAAGAGATATTTATGATATCTGAGTAAGTACAGGCCCCGGGAAAAGGAATGTCTCAGGAACCAGGAACCCCTTGCCAAGATTATACTGAATGAATATTTGAGAAACAATTTGAATAAAAAAGATAAAATTTCTCCTTAAAGAGCTTTACGTCATAGTAGGAGTTAAGGATTTGTTTTGGTTTATAGTACTAGGACTTTGCATTGTGCTACATTCACACACACACACACACACACACACACACCTTTAAAAATTTGGAGACAGAGTCTAGCTAAATTTCCCAGGCTGGTTTCGGATGTGAGAGTATACTGCTTTAGCTTTCCGACTAGCTGGGAATACAGCTATGTGCCACCATGTCTGGCCTGCAGTTAGAGATTTTGATATAAATAATTACTAGGAAGAGAGAGAAAGCAAGAGGAGGGTATAAGTTGCAGAGGGAATTTAGAGCTGCAATCCAGCATTTTTGACTGACAGCATGGGATTGATCCTAGAGCCTGTGTTATACTAAGCACATGCTTAACCAGTGAGCTACACAGAATGCTGTTACTGTGTTTTCATTTTCAAATAGTATGCCCTAATGGTCAGCATTTTTGGCTGCCTACTGCATGCCAGAATCTGTTCTAAGTGCTTTACATTTATTGACTTACTTAACCCTCATGTACATATTATCTGTGTTTTAAAGGAAATGAGAGAGACATGAGACCCAGACAAATTAAGTAATTTTCTTGTCCAAGAGCATACAAATGTAAAATTTGGATTCCAACCATTGAAACCAGACCTTGGACTAACCACAAATGACTGCTAAGTGTTTTCTCTGTATAATCTTTTCTTTTGGCATTGTTCTTTCCTGCCAGACATTGCTTTTTTTTTTTTTTTTTTTTTTTTTTTTTTTTTTTTACAGTTTTTAGCAGTTATACAGTACATAGTTTAAAGTCAGTAAGCACTGTAAGTTTTGTTAGGACAAAAAGGAGCCCCATCTCCTTCACATTAAAAGTGGTTTCATGCTTGCTAGAACAACTCAGGTGTATTAGAGGAAGCTTTGTATTTGTAGTCTTCTCCCCATCTCCTTTCTGCTTGTTTATTTTAGGCTGTAACTTCCTGGGGGATTTACTATATCTTACTGGGGTGGCCAGCATTCAGGAGCTCTCCAGTTGTATGGGGAAATACTAGTTATGGCTCCTAGCGCTTGTGCAGCTTTCCCATCCTGGCTTCCCTCTTAAGAATGTAATAACCTTTTCTTAGATTTATCTTGCTTTTAGCTCTCCTTCCTACCTACAGGCTTCCATTCATTCCCAACTGGAATTCTGTGTCTTTGGACTTGTCTCTTTGCCTCTCTCTAGTTTATTCTCTACACTGCAAACAAAATCATTTTTTTGAAGTGTTATTCTGATTGTGTTACTACTCTGTTTAAAATACCTCAGGATAAATCACTGTTCTCTAAATTCCTTAGATTGACTACAACTTGGTATAGTCAAGGAAAAAGCAGACCCTCAGATTAGAGAGAATTTAATTTGGGAACCAAAACGTTGTTTAGGATCAAATCCAGTACTTGTCCTTACCTTTAGCTTCCGGAGTTTGTCAGTATGGGGAAGAGACATTACATTGTTCTTTTTTCCCACTTTCGTGCACACTCTTACTTTCAGACTTGTCCATGTGCTTCACATTTCTCCTAAGGGTTAGTTATTGATGTGGTCTGTCAGTGTCCCTTACAGCTGTATCTCTTTTTAAGTAGTTTTTCTTTCAGAACCATTGTTGAGCTGCTATGAGGACTACTCTTGGGTCTGATGACCTAGCTTGACTTTTTTTTGGTGGAACTGGGGATTGAACTCAGGTCTTTGCTCTTGCGGGAAGCGCTTATTCCACTGAGCCATATCCCCAGCCCCACCTATCTTGACTTTTTAAAAGGCGACAGGATAGGTCAGACTGTCCATGAGCATGCAGTGTTTGTTTTAGTACGGCGCCTGGAACAGTCCAAAGATGGACTTCTTTGTCCAGTGTGAGTGACAACTGGCTGACTACAGAATTCTGGGTTGCAGTTTTTTCATTAGATAATGTATAGTAAATAGATGTTTTTTTACTAGAATACTTTTTGATACTGTTCCTTTTTTAAAAAATTGGACTTATCTGTTATCCTTTGAGCTCTTTCAAGTTGTAAATTCAGGTCTCAATTATCTGGAGAAAACTCTTTGATACAGTATTTGAATATTGATTCTTTTTGGTGTTTGTGATACTGGGATTAAATCTAAAGCCCTCCTATTGAGTTACATTCCATCTCCTTCCTGCCTGCCTGTTTAGGCTGCCTTTGAGCTTATTTTGAAGCCCAGACTGACCTCAAACTCAAAGCAATCCTCCTACCTAAGCTTCCAGAGGGTTAGCATGAAAGGTGTGTGCCAACATGCCTGGCCTCACCTCTTCTTAATTAAACTTTTTATTGTGATACAAGATTTTGTTAAAGTCACTAAGTTACTCAGGCTAGGCTTGAACTTGGAATCCTTCTGCCTCAATTCCCAGAGTGCAGGGATAAGTGTGTACCATATACCAGCTGAATATTACTTTTGTTCCATTTATTCCTGTGTTAACTTCAGGAACTCCAGTTATTATGTGTTAAGCGTTGCATCTCTGTATTGGCCCATCTCCCCTTTTAAAATTATTTTGAGATCTCTCTCTCTCTCCCCCCTCTCCACCTCTCTCCCTCTCTCCCTCTCTTCCCCTCTTCCCCTCTCCTCCTCTCTCCCCCTCTCCTCCTCTCTCCCCTCTCCCCCTGTTTCCCCCTGTCTCCCCCTCTTTCTCCCTCCCTCTCCCTCTCCCTCTCTTCCTCTCCCTCCCTCCTCCTCCCTCCCCTCTCCCCCTTCTTCCCCCTTCTCTTCTCCCCTTCCATTCTTCCCTACTTCTCCCTTTCATTTTTGCTCTAGCTTTTTTATCTTTTTTTGTAGCAGAGTATTGAATGAACCCTGGGCCTCCCTCCTATGTGCTAGACAAGGATGTTCCATTAAAGCACATCCTAAGATTTTCTGAAATTTGTATTTTGACATAAGGTCTTGCTAGTTCTTTAACTTAGATTTACCTTCCCCAGGGGTGGGCCAGATAGCTCATCAGACTAAAGTACCTGCTTAGGAAAAGCGCAATGGCCCGGTCCTAAGCGTGAGGTGTCGGCCTGACCCC